GAATGCATTCATTTCCATGCCATGGAGCTGAATTAGATCATCATATGCCTTCCATACATCTCCTGGGCTGTAGACTGTGGGAARTGGGATAAACAAAACATTTTAGAGAGGACATGGAAATAAGACATTTCTCTGAAATTGGAGTCACTGCACAGCATGGAGCACAGACGTGACAAGTCCTGGCTGTGACACAAAATGGCTTTGTAAAGTTCTGTGCCTTTAGGAGAAGACACCAAGGACCACTCTTACCCAAAATAAATTATGGTAAGGACTCTTGCTTAGAGCTGCTGTCTAGAAAGTGATAACAGCCAGCCTGTGAAATTWGGAAGCCAGCAACAGTAATTATTTCTTAAGAAGAGAGAAGGGTTTTGAAAGGCATTGCATACCAGTAGGCACTGATTCYGAAAACCGAGACACATTTCTGTTTCTAATTGGTTAATTATATATAATTTCAGCAGGTATGGATGTTTCATTYTCTGGAACTGATCTTTTTTCTGTCAAGTGCTAATGGAGGTTAGAAGAAAAATATATTAAGCAAGCTGCTACATAAAAAAACTAAGTCAATGAGCAGACCCTTCAAAGGCYGGGAGTGCTGCAGGATATGTTTAATTACAGGTCAATGACAACCAGTAGCATTTGTGTTCATTTTTTTCGGACTTCTCCGGTGCTTTCTTCACAGTGTGTATGAATGGTAAAAACATTAGATTAAAAGTAAATAAATAAATAAATAAATAAATAGATAGATAGATAAATAAATAAATAAATAAATAAATAAATAAATAAATAAATAAATAAAGACAAGCATTAAGTACAGTTAATCTATCAGTTAATCTATCAGACAAACCCTGAGCATTGTGTGCCGCCTGCCAAATCCCACTTTCAGACAATCAGTGCAGAAAGGTTGGGCAAGAATTAGGACATTTACAAAGAAAAGTTCCATTACTCTCGGATGGCAGTGGCAATGACGGGACATTCCCCGATATGTGTGAGGCTGAGGCTGCGTTCACTCCCAGCATCACGCCTTTTCCAGCTCTATTATTCCTCTCGCAAAACTTTTCAGCAGAGAACTTTTCAGCGTGGCAGCGCTTCCATCTGCTGGCTGAAGCTGGCACTGTCCGGAGSAGCAAAGGCAGCAGGGCTGACCGTCCCCATGGCAGACACTTTCTGTCCTTGCCTTCTCCCCCGTGCTTCCGAGCCAGAAATGTGTCCCGTTACTCCTTTCCCAGGTCTCTCACTGTTCTGGCTTTCAGTCCTGATTCATAGTATTTGGGGGCTTTTTCGTTGCCATGCTTAATGGGAAAGAAATGCCTTAGCTGGCATCCTTGACTGGAATAATAGACAAAAAGTCCACACTGTGCACAGGGATCAGGCACAATCCTTTTTCATTTCATAGGAAAAGAAGAGCCCTCTGTGTTATGTCCTTTTTTGGAGCTTTGCATGTAGCAGTCCCCCTTTAACGCGGGATAGATATTAAAAACAACTAAGATAATTTTTGTGGAATGAGATAACTGAAAGTAGAGAGCATATGCAAAACCCCTTCAGGAGCTGAGCTGAGGGTGTTTTCACTAGGTATTTATTTTGGACGAAGATATCTGACTGTATGAGCCAAGAACAGACAAATATCTCAAAAACAGTAAAGGGTATTCAGGGGAAGAAGTCAGGAGGCATTTGGTAGCTCTAATTTTGTGGGTTTTTTTGGGGGGTTGGGTTTTTTGGGATTTTTTTTTCTATTTGTTTGGTTTTTTTGGGTTTATTTTTTTGTTTTGGGTTTGGTTTTTTTGGGGTTTTTTTGAAGGGAGATGTGTGTTTTACAAACAGAATGACAGGATTTTGGTCACCTGGTCTCTGTCCTGGCTAAAGAGGCTGAGAGTCTGGTCTGAGAGAAGGAGAGGCTAAGAGGGAGGGGTGAGAGAGAGGACCACCAAGGGAGTAATGAGGAGAGATTCTCTTACCATGCTTATGGATGCTGAGAATTTGCATGGCTTCCCAGATATGCAGGCCCTGAGGGCACCACCAGCMCCAGCTGCCCCATGGCAGCCCCATGACCCCATCTCAGCTACCTTTGGCTGCCAGTCCCTGCCCCAGGGATGCCCAAATCCAAACATCTGGCCTTTTACTCTTAGGCACTGAGGTACAATCAGTGAAAAGTGAACTGAAATCATAAAGTCTTACTGGATAAATTGRGTGAGAGAAAGGCTTACATTCACCAAAACCAAGATTTATCTCCTAAGCACCAGGGGCAGCAAGATAGGGAATAATTTTTTTTTCCTTCTGGGGGAGAGAAATTTGAAGTTCCTTCCATCACCTCTAACGAATTTATCCCAATTGCCCAACTGGTGGCTAATATAGTTCATGTGTCTTCTTCTGTTCCTGTAAGAAAAACAAGCAATTTGCTTGATTTGGATTGAACTGCTTTGGGTTTTTTTTGTTTTCTAATCTGAGACATAATAAAAGTAATTATAGCTGGAAAGAGAGAAAGAGCTACTTCTTAACCTTTGCTGTATGAGGAAAAGGTTTTGTGTAGGGTTGTTTGGCTGACTGAAAAACTGAGTGGGAGCTGTGGACAAAGCCACCCCYTTCCAGTGGTCAGTGAACAGAGAGRCTGAGCTGGTRCTTCCAAAACCTGAGCAGTGCCCCATCTGTTCTATGGGATAAAGGAACAGAAATAATCCCAGTGAAGTCAGGATGTGCTCACACCTTGTGCTCACCASTCTGATTATCTGAGGAGCAGAAATACACTGATCACCTGTTCTGAACCGATGGCTATGAATGGAGTTATTTCATAAAAGGGATGTCTATGTCCTCATTGAAGAGACTTGGAGAGGCAGAGGTTCTGCTCACCAGCTTGTAGGAAACATTATATATGAGCAGCTGGAAGGACAATGACTTTGTCAGTCAGTCCCCATGCTTGGCCTGAGGGTGGAAAAGCTGAGTCAAGCACAGGGGTGATGCTCCTTCAGGGGAGCCTGGGGAGAGCAAAGCAGCTGCTGGGAGCTCTGCCCCATGCAGAAATTCCCAATACAAACTCTTCCTATTTTTGGTACAATTATGTAATCAGAGAAAAAAAAACAACAAAGTTCCCTCCCCTCAAAATAAGTGCAGTCTTGATGACAATGAGAAACCCTCCACTTTTCCTATTCATAACAACTTTCCAAGGCCTGTATGAACCTCTGTGATTCAGAGTCAGTGCTTTCATGAGACAAAGAGCTGCTTTAGCTGCTACCACTGCACTTTACAAAGCACAGAAAGAAAAGCTCCAGGGATATCAAAAGCCATAGACTYGGCAGAGACTCCACAGTTTAATTTGTGAAGTGAGACAGCTGACAGATTASAAACTCAATTTTACTTCAGTCACTAAAGCCACTGAATCTAGTGCTGTGTCACTTGAATCACTGATGATTAATGAGTTTCAAGACCTTTAAAAGTGCAAAGGGAAGTAGTTTAGAAAGGAAAGGCTTCACCTGGCAYAGAAAAGAGACAAGACCTTGTTGCACGGTGACAGGAGCCAGGTATTCTCCAGCACAGAGTTAGGGCTGGACTAAAGGTTACTGTGTTGAATTAGGATRTAGGAATTTGAAGCATTTCTCTTCAGTGAAGCAATAGTTCACTGCTGTCATTTTAAAGAAAAGGAGAGTCCCCTAGGCATCCTAGAGAGCAGTTTTGCATCAAATGCTGCCYGTGTGCATGAAAGTGAGTATCCCTTGGAGCAGTGAGCTGAGCAATGTGTCAAGGAATGACAAATAATTGCTCAACATGCATAGAAATAACTCCTGGGAAATTTTATCCAAAGCCAGTGGGATTCAGGCTGGAACTGCAGAGCAAGGCAGTCTCCATTTTGACAAATACAGTGTATGTGTTAAGCAAGAAAAAGTGACTTCAGGAGCATCAAGTCTCAGGCCCATGATTCTCAAGAACACGAGTCTGGTGGGAATTGAGCACATCCCATATTAGGCACAGAAGTACTCTCTTTTTTACCATTAAACTGCTATTTTGCAGCCAGTCAGTCCCATTTGGTTAAGCTAGTAAAGTAAAATTTGTTTCCTTCTCAGTCATCTTGAAAAGAATTCATGTCAGTGGACAGGCAAGAGGACATTCTCTGCATTTGCTCCAAAGCTGTGTGGTACATTTACACGTAGATTTTCATGTCTGTGCTTTCCAGTTAACAGAAAATATGAAACAACTAGAAATGGACAGGACAGCTGTGGACCTTTGCACACAACTGCAGAAAGAACTGAGACCTGGGATGTGGCTGATCCCAGCTAGCAGAGATTTATTGCATCAGACACATTTCCATCAAACAAGAGATCATTTTCTTGCTTAAATCCGTTGTTTTCTTCTGTTGAGGTGTTTAGTTCCACATTTACCACAAGCAGCTCTTTATCCAGCAGAAACAACATCTTGTAAAACAATTTTCTGGCACTGCCCTTGCTCTCTGAGCTGGTCTAGGTGGGAATGGCTGTCCTTCCACACCTCCCCAGCCCCACAGTGACCCAAAGGCACTGACAGACCCTGCTGGACTTCTGACCACTCAGGAACCTCCCCTGTCACCTCCAGTAAAGGGTTCCTGCTGGGTAGGAACCCACAGCAGCACCAGCACACTCCATGTGCTTTTTGCTGAGGTGGCAGGAGAAACAAACTTATGCAAATCAGTTAAAAAACCCCAAAACCAAGCTGGCCACCATCTTATTTTACAGTTACCATCTAAATTTACATATTTTTTTTAATTTTGTGGAACCTTTGTCTCCTTTTCAGTAACCCTCAAGCGAGCAAAAAAGGAATTTCAGGAGTCCAGCTCTACTTTAAAACATCAACAAAGGCAAAATTTGCATGGTATTTGCATTTCAGTCTCATCTTAACTGTAGTTATATTTGAAGCAGCTGTTCTGTACACTACCTGCCTGCAGGGATTGCAAGCAATTAGAATTCAAAACTCCATAGTATTAGTCCATCCACAAAATTAGGGCTATCATTTAAAAAATRAGCAAAAACAAACTAGCAAGCAAAAGAGTAAAAACTATTTATTTCTGAGAAAATATCCTACAAAATTGTGGCTTAACTGCCATTAAAAAGTTAAAAGAAAAATAGGAAAGAATCTGAAAATATATATCTGACAGTTATTTAAGTCTTGCATTACATTTTGAATGTTTTCAAATATTAAAAAAATCCAAACCTCACTTATAGTGAGCTTTTCAGTTTGCATCTTATACAACTTTTAMAGTTCAAAACTGGAGAAGTATTGATACATAAAGCTGTAATTCACCAGTTGTTGATCACAATTTTTATGAAAATAAATAAGTAAACACACTGAGATGATAGAAGCCGAGCATACAGAATCATCCCAATTACACTTGGGCAGAGGAGTTCAAGTGAACAGAGTCATACCATGAAATTTTCATAAGAAAAGCAAACTGCAACACTTGGAAGCAACACTCTCATCTGGTTCTCAGAGCAATTTCCTCCTGGTATCAGCATCWCTCCTATTTTGTAACTTCATTGGCTGAAGTTATAAAATAAATGCCTAAAGGCAAAAGTAAAATTAGGATATAAAACCAAATGTTTCTTCATCTTCTAGACTATAGTAAGATGGATCTCCAACTTTCCAATACATCACCAAAGCAGGGATTTTTCACACTTCAATCTTCAGAGTTGAGCACTAGGTTCATTGTCCATTCCTTTGCCTGCTCAATGCAGATTCAGCTTAACCAAGATACTGATTTTAGAAGGATCTGCCTTTCCCATCCCAGATACCTGCTTTTAGTCAGCCTCTGTGAAAAGAGATTTCTACTTTTCTTCCCAGGCATGAGGGAAACAATATAGAATTTTAAACCAGCCAGGTAATTTTTCCATGGTTCAAGTATGTGTGATGAATTGGGTCAGGTGACACCTTTCTATGTGTCTCTACCACCAGAGGAGTTACAGACCTAACTGTGTTCGTTGTTTTGTCCCATTAGGATATGATTTAGTGTTCCACAAACCCAACAGAACTGTGCTGTGTTTGGTCAGCACAAAGGAATCCAGCCTGGAGGCCTCTAGCCAGCAGTCACCTTGTGCAGACGAGGGTTTGAGTGGTGATTTACACCAAATATCAGCATCCAGACAGCACTTGAGCTGTCTTTAACTTTCCACATGCAAAAGAAGGCTGGCACTGCACACACTGGCACAATGGTGAACACCAAAAGAAGCTTTCATAGATTTGAAGGCTGCCAGGTCTCTCCACTTCTGAGGTGCCCTCTGTGTCTCTCATTGCTGGCGTTAGTGATGCCATCAGATTTTGCACACCCAGCCCACTCTCGTGGAGTCTCCACAGTGAAGTGGAAAAGCAGAAGCACCAAATGTGTGGCTGCCCCTTCAGTTCAGGGAGAAAGTGGCAGCCCCTCAGGGCTGGGTGCTGCTCCCACTGGTGCAGATGCACTTTGGTTCAGAATTCAAGGCCAAATAGGGCCATGGGAAGAACAGTTGGACTCTCAGCATCCTTGCTCTCATATGTATCAGGCAGCTGGTATTCCCAGGGGAGCACCCAAGTGAGCAGAGAGTGGTCACAACTGCACTTTGGTTTGTGGCAGCAGGATCTGTGTCTGAAAGGGAAAGAAAAATGCCCAGTGTTAAMGTTAAGCCGGAGGAAATATTTGTTCTTATGACCTCAGTGGAATATAAACCACATTTGTCATACACTGAGCCAGCTGCTCAGCAACTGAGCAGGGAGCAGAAATGGTCCACTTTTTAAAAAATATGAAATGGACTTCAATTTCATTGTTTGTTTTATGACCACACATTAGAGGCATTATTATTACCACTCCCATGGAAAATACTATGAATGAGAAAAAATATTATCTCACTCTTAATTTTTTCTTGGGTGGAGAAAGGGTATAGAAACTGTTCTTCTTCTGATGCATGCTGAAAAATGCTTAGGAAGTATCCCCTAATTTTCAGGGCAGAAAAGGGCAGCACTCAATGACTGCTGMTGATAGCCTGTTAGCCTGTGTCCTTGGAAAATAACATGCTTCATGGAGAAAATGTGTAGCTCTGAAGTGTCGTTCTTTTATGTCTCAAAGTATCAGGAGTAATTGATTTTAGTGGATGATTAAAAACTTCCACCCCACTATTATTGCACCATAGGGAGCTGCCATCAGCAGGGACCTTGCTGTCATGGCAGAAATGCTCATTTCACATGCTGGCCTAAATGCAGATGGTTGTTGGTTGGTGCTTGTCTGTCTGCAGTGTGATACCTCAGAAAATAAATCACTTGTGCCAGAGGSAATCCCTGGCTTGGCAAGGGGGTTCAGGGGTTCCTCCCCTCACCCTCGGGGGGTGTGCATGGCATTGCTTACAGACAAAGCTCTCTGCAGCTCTCCTTGGCCTGCCTAACATGTACATGAAGTGTTTTAGTGCTGGGATCTGTGCCTTCTTTGTAAGGGGTTTTCAACCACAAGACCTCTGAAACTGCCAGARAATCAAGAGATCTGTTTTAAAATGTTATGCCAATTTTCTGTGCTTTCAAGGGGGCTCTCACATCACATTTCCAAGCTTCACCATGCAACCAYGCAGGATTGTTTCTTTCCAAATGGATTTGGTGGGGGTGATGGCAGCGAGGGCTGAGCAACTCGCTCAGTCCTGTGCCTCCAGGCTTTACTAGACATCAAAAATTGCTATAAATTAACATTACAAACACTGGCAACACTAGTGATGAAAAAAAGAGTCAACAAACCTTGCTGTGTTATTAAAGGCACCATTTTGAACAGGAAAAGGCTCAGATGTGGAGAAGGAAATGTTTCAGCTCRTCTGGGAGAAGAAGTCCAGTTATTTTTTGGTGCTGCTTGTATCCAAAGCACCTCCTGATGCACAGGCGGCACAACTGCATCAAGGACAGTGGCCCTGGAGAAAGATCCAGGGAAGAGGTTACACACATGGCTTTCTAATGCCAAAATACAAACCTGAAACAGCAGCTGTGCATCACTGCTCCCCCAACCCCTCACCAGGTTTTCACACTCAGCAGTGAAAAGTCAAACCTGTGTCCACCAAAGAACACCAGCCTGGCTGCAGTCCAGTCCCTGCTTGGTCATTCTGTCCTCACACAGCTGCAATTGGAATCAGCAGCATCAGTCCTTCCCTTCTGAGCTGCACAAATGTTTGTACTGTCTGAAATGATTGATGTTAGCTTAAAAGCCCTTCCCTCCTCTCACTTAACCAGTGAGATCAAAGTTTTCAGTCCACTGCTTTCTTGAGGCMTATTTCACAACAGTGATGAACACAAAGCAAAAGAATCATAATACAGCTCTTTATTTAAACCTTCAGGTTAACCGGTCCCATGTTGATAGATGCAAGCCCTGTTGAAGAATCTTTGTCACTTTATAAAAAAYCTAAGTATAATAGCATTATACACTTCTTTGGGTCACTGATCCTGCTCAGGAAGAGGAAGATCCTATGTGAAGCTTTACTGTGGCACCTGTAAAACCCTCCAGAGCATTGTTKGCACAGGGGTGACGAGTGTGGAGGGTGGTGGGGGTAAGAGGGAGGGCAGGTAAGAGGATGAGCACCAAGGAGGGATCTGGGTGCTGGGAGTGGGGAGAACATGAGACACTGCAGAAAGGGAAAGGGAAGGAAAATGAGCTGGGAGAGAACTGTTTAGGTGCCCCCCTCATGAGGAGAAGATGAAAGAAAAGGAAGCTTCAATAAAAATGTGGTGAGGTGGCAACTTTGATCAGCTTTTGGAGCTTCCCTCGTTTAGGACACCACATTTCCAGCAGCTCTGCAAGGCTGAAGCTGCTGTGGTCTCAGAAGGGCCATGCAGAAGGCTGCACCCTTCTGCTAGGAGCCAGCACACGAGTTAGTTACCCTGCTCTTGGGTACAACAGGGCAAGCTGCTTTGGGGCTAGTTAAACTATTGCAGTATCACACTGCAYTTGGGCTTGACTCTGATCCCACAGATAAATCTCCACGTGAAAACATCTCATTAAAAAAAAACAAAAAAAACCAATTTTCATTAAAAGAAAAAACAACCAAACGCAAAACACAAAGACTTGTCAAAACACAAGCAGCGACACTGCACTGGAAAATATTTAGCGAACACAAGCACACTCTTCAAAAACACAGTGCATTTTTGGAGCATTCACTAATTCTCCCACCYATCTGCAGTGCTGTCCCTGAGATGTGAGCAGGGCATCAAGTGGTCCAGCATGGGGAACTGCTAAGAGGGGAAGCACCACATGTRCYACACCTGCTCTGGGCCAGTCCTGCCAGGGTGACAGGGTCAGCACGCTCTGCAGCTCATCTCTGGTGGCCAAACACACACCCTGCAGCTGCCTGGCCATGGGGGGACAGGAGCCATGCATGGGAGCAGGGCAGGAGAGCAGCTTTTGCACCCCTGTCCCAGACTACAATTGTTCAGCAAGGCAAAGAAGCCAGATTCAGCTGTCCACAGGCATGATCCCACTCAGAGAAGGACATGCTGGAGAACATCAGAAAAACATTCTTCTGCAAAAAAATTCCCTTCAGGCATTTACTGTTTCTGATTTTGACTGCTGAATTTAGAAAGTTCCTCACTGCTGTCAGCTCAGCCCAAGCAGCGTTTCCCAGGCCAGCTCCACAGGGCGTGCCTGAAATGTTTTTCTATCTCAAATAAACAGGACACATGCAGGGCCACGGGAGTCAGGAGTCAAATGCAGCAGGGACTGGACCTCAAAAGATCATTGCTCTGTGTGCCACAGATTAGGCTGGGAAACCAAATATCCGTTGCTCGTGCATAACGTGCACAACACACTTGTTCCCATACTATTTTCATGTTAGTATTTGAAACAGGGCCTGATTCATTACTTTATTATTACAATTTTACCTTTGTGTAAATCTTTCTATGGCAACAATCTCATCAATATGTAACTGGCATGGATCACACCTTCACCAATTTGTTTAAAATAATGAAAATACAGGTTATTTAGTAATGTGTATAGGTTRCTGACTGAATGAGAAAATCTAAGGAAGAACACAGGTTAAAAAATGAGTAGACAYTAGAGATCTTTTTCTAATTTCCCTCAATAATAGTAAGCAACATTTTTCTCCATACTTATTTAAATACTTCATAATCAAAAATAAAATTAACTGGAACTATTTAATTTACAAGTACAAAATAGATGTTTCTTGAAGTTTAAGTTTATGGTTTGATACTGCTGTGTTATTCAGCACATAAGATTGGTCTTTAAAGGAAGTTTAGTGTATAAACATATACATATATATATACTCTTTATATAATTCCTGTGCAATTTTCCTTAATGCCCACAGAAAAAAAAATCATTTAGTCTTCCATTTTAAAGATACTTTTGCATCTATATAAGAGCTTGGCCCAAGAATAAAAATAAAGAATCAAGAATTAGAAAACAAGAYCTTCAGTATACTTYTTTTTAGTATTACATGCATTAARATTTTTTGGRTTGCAAATCTGCATTTAGGCATTTGTGCTGAGACAAGTAACTGGCAGAAACCTGACCATCAGCATATTTTTAACCAGAGATCCCAAACCTCACCCTCACCTCCTAGCCTCAATTCCCATCAGAGGTGATTTGCTGCCTGCATTTGTCAGCACATTCCATAGAACACTCCTGGGTCTACTGCTGCCTGACACAAGGCAACTGGGAGATTCTCACTAAAAATTCAATGTTTTAGGTAATGAGAAAAGGCTACCATTGGTTTTCAATGAGTCTTTTGCTTGTTTATTCACTCTAAACTCGATTCTGCATTATATGGCAAGCTTCAAATCATTGCTTCCTGATGCAGCAGATTCAAAATCTGGAGGTTCAGGATGGCTTATTTTTCTTACCATTATCACTGTTAGTTCACTACTGCATTCTGGCACTAGAAAACAATGTCCCTGTGTCAGTGAATGGAGATAATCTTAGTTATTCCCAGTTTCCTGGTGCTGTCAGCCTGAAATAGCACAGCCTGTGAGGGTTTTCCCTAAAACAAGCCCTAAGGAGCACCTTCTCTCTGCAGGAACAGCTGGCCCACAGGGCAGCCAGGTGGGACCAGCTCCACTGGCCTCTTGTTTTCAGCGTTCTTCACCCAAATGTCTGCTCCAAAGTCCATCAGCAGCTTTGCCAGCTCCACACTGCAATTCCTGGCAGCCGTGTGCAGAGGGGAGTCCAGGTCCTTGCCGCTGTTCACGTTTGCTCCTGAACAGTGAGAGAGGACAGAGAATAATGACAAAGAGCAATGATTAGACAGCAGCCTGTTTTCATCCACTGCACCAGCTGTTTCTCTGAATAACACATAAATGCTGAAACCTGCACCCAGAGGTGACCCCTTCATGCTGGGCCTTGGTGCTACAGTTTGCACATCTCACAGGCTGAGGAGGAGTGGAGTTGTGATTAAGAAAATGATCCCACAGGAACCGGGCACGAGGAGATCCTTCATGCACAGCCCAGCCCATGGATATCTCAAAAAAGGACAAAGATGCAGCTCCACCTATGACCTAACTCTGCTTCCCACCCCGTAAAATACATGCAGGATTTCGACATGCTCTGTACCAGAGGCTTCAGCTGGTGGGATTTCCAAATGCCAAAATATCTGCTAGGGTAAAAATGTGAGGATGGAAAGGTTCTAGAGGCCCTTGGTAGAAAAGGGCATAAACAACCCTGATGAGATTCCCCCCTTGATTACCCTGGACTAAAGGTTGCTAGAACACCTTAAGAAATGTGAGCTGCAGAACTAATTCAAAACTAATCATAATGCTTTCATAGTACACATTCCCATATATAGAAGGCAGCAAAAAACAAATTAGCAGAAAAAAAGAAAATAGTTGCCAAACATTTAATATTTAGATTAWTTTGTATTTGATTTCTTCCAAAAAAAGGTCATTGTACTAAATAGTGACCTATCTAAAAGATTATACACATGATTTTTGCTTTGTTTTTCCCTAAAGTGACTCTGTTGGTCCATTACTTTTCTACCAGCTTCGTGGCTACTTTAGGTTACCTGGGCCTTTGGCTAGAAGAACTAYACTACTGTAGATAACAAGAAATGGTTTTGTGTAATTATCCAAGCATTTAGACTTACAGACAGGTTTGTGTCATGCAAAGCATATATTGCTGAACCTTTTTCTGTGTTGGAAATGTCTCAAGCTTTTTATGAACTCATTGGAATTGAAACATGTTTGCAGAAATACTATATAAAAGGGGCTGAGTCAACTGTTTTGGGGAAAGAGGGAGTAAAATTAAAAAATGGAATTTCTTCCTTTCCACTTCAAATAACTGCAACACCACATGCACAAACACTGCAAGGGATAGTTAGGTCCCAAAGCAGGAGTTCCTCAAAATCTTTGATGCAAAGATAACCCAAAGATGGTTATCTTACCATGTATATCCAACCCTGATGTTGCAGGAAACWAAGTACACCATTCTTTATTTTTCTTTTTACCTGACTCAAGCAGCTTCTTGGCACAGTTCAGTTGCTGGTTCTCACAAGCTACATAAAGTGGAGTACCCAGGTGCTTGATGTTGTGATCTATGTCTGCCCCACGGGACGCAAGGACTTCCACACATTGCACATGACCTTAAAAGGGATAAAGGAAGAGTAAACTCACAGAGATCAGACTTCGGGTTGGGTTTTTTTTTTTTTTTTTTTTTTTTTTTTTTTTTTTTTTTTTTTTTTTTTTTTTTTTTTTTTTTTTTTTTTTTTTTTTTTTTGTTTCTTCACGGTTATTCCCAGCACATTCTCTATTGCAGCAGTGTAGTTTGGCAAAGATTCAATGTTTTGTCGAGAGATGGTAGTGTAATACTTTCATCCACTCCAGTGGATCCAGCCAGCAAAACAGGAGCTGCAAAGCCACGTTGAACAAAACAGGCTAAACCCCTCACATTTTATCTGACTCATTTGAGATGTCTGTTGAGGATGAGATGAATCACCCCATGTTTCTCTCCCCTGCTTTTGTAGATAGCCAGAYGTCTCCCTCAAATGTCCACACTGTAGGCAGCTGATTTGGACAATGCAGCCCCTTCCAGGTGTCACCACGAGAACTCAGAGGATCTGAGAGCTGAGCCTGCCCTTGAGGAGCAACAGGGGTGGGAAGAACTGCACCCCCACGATGATACAATCAGCAAGGCATTGTACATGACCCAAACCCAGAAAATTATCTTCTTTATCTCTCTCTCCACTTCAACACACCACTATGGACATGGAAAGAAGGGCTGACGCCCATGGGGTTACCTCTCTTAGCAGCTTCATGGATGGGGGATGCCAGGTCACAGGGTGGCTGCAGGCTGGCTCCGTGCTCCAGCAGCAAATTCAAACAATCCACACTGCCACTGACACAGGTGTTGAACARGGGTGTGTGCCAGTCAACAGTCACTCCATTCACCTGGGGGAAAATAACACAAAAGGCAATGGTTTTGGTCTTCTTGGTATTTCAAAATTGATGACAAATAACTAGGCAGAAAATAGGGTTCTCATGTCAAAACTTCCCAGTACTTCTGAAGACTCTAACTTTTTATTTAAATAATCATTATTTTTTTTAAATTGACCCCAAGTCTCTCCTCCTACAAAAACAAATTTGATCAGTGCCACTCCAGGGACACTAAGGAGTTAGTGTCCAAGCTAAATGTATGCCCACCTCTCAGTTATCTTAGCTGAAACACACCTGCCCATAGTCTTCTGAAAGAGTCCATTTTTGGCTGAAAGTATGCAGTCCTCCCTTAATTTTTTTTTATTATTATTTTAAACTGACAGGTAATATATGTTAAGGTAATATATGTAAGAAATAATTTTCTTATTCATTACAATTTTGATGTTAACTTGAAAAGTAGCAGCCATAAGACASCATTTCACCATTTCACTTGCATCTTGTTTCCATTTTCTTCCCATTTTACTGTCAGTTGATCCTAACATTCCTATGCCTTTACTTAAGACTCTGCATACTGGTACCAGTAAGATTAATGTGCACAAAATAAAACACRCCCTTAACTGCTGCAGGATTATAACCCCTTTACAGGATGAACATTTCATCCTCATCTAAAGAACAATAATAACTGCTGCTTAGGTCTGTGTTTTATGGATTGCTTTATTAGGAAGTGCATTTTATAAGTAGCTCAAGCAGAGCTAAGTGCAGAGTGTAAATCACAGAGATATCCTGCCATGACCTCACCCAGCATTTAAGCGTGGTGATACCACATAGAACAGCAGAGACAGTGCTCTGTTCATCACACACTCACCTGAGCACCGTGTTTTAACAGGACACTGGCACAGGCAGCGTGACCCCCTAGGCAGGCCTCGTGGAGAGGAGATACCTGGTCTGCTGTAACAAGATTGACATCACCCCCCTGAGAAGATAATGGAAAATATCATTACAACCAACTACAGAAACCCCCATGCAAAAAACTATAATTAAAAAAAAAAACCACTTTTTGTCTTTAAAGTTATGTAATCAGCCCTTCCTTAACTGCCTGGAGCTACTCATCTCAAAAAGTCAGCAGAAGAAGGGGCTGTGATGTTTTGACAGGAGTGGATGCTGGCACAGCACACYCGAGGTCATGCCTTCTACACACTGATAACAGAGAGCTGCAGTGGACTGTCCAATGGGACAGTACATCCTGTTGGGAACTCAGCATGAATTTTGGATAGCAAATTCTGAAATAAAAGAAAACGATGAGAAGTTTTTACTACAGTCGTTGGCAGGGTTGTGACTGCTGCCTTTCTRTATCACTGCTCAAGCCTTCTGACCTCCTGCCCACGGAGGCTGTGACTGACTGGGTCAAACCCTGAAAAGCTCTTGAAGTGTTTTCTGCTCCTTGCCTCAAGGCACCAACTGAAGGAAAGTCAGGCCCTGCATTGGAAACATTGGTTTGATTCTATAAGATCTTTTGYTCCTTGCACTCTTGGTGCTCCAGAAGGTTAAGCTGGAAKAGCCTCCAATACCCYTTCCCTTTCCATCAWCTYCTTCATRGGTTAAACYGGGGATTTTGAAGAAACAAAGCAGWGAGGTTCAGAAACCACTCCTCCCTATCCCTGACCTTCTGGAATAGGAGCCTGGCCCTGGGATATGCTCAGGCACTTCAAATGTGTGGGTGACTGAATTGAAACCTCAGCCAGACCCATGCCTGGGTCCAGAGCTGGCCCCCAGCTGGGGCACCCAAAACTGCTCACAGGCATGCACAGGAGCTGCACAGGAGCTGCAGAGGAGCTGCAGAGGAGCTGCCCAGAGATCCCAGTGATCACAGACCCTGACCTGCACCAGAGCCAAAGCATCACCCAGGATTGTTCAATACATCATCAAATTACTGCACAGAGCTTGTGCTGAGCAAGGAACTCATTGTAGAAAAAAGTATCTGTGACATGCAGCTTTCCCTGTGGCCTGGTTAACATGATTTTCTGACCCTGGAAGTTTCACAGTAAAGCACAGACTGCATTCATCCACTGAACAAACCCTGCAGAGACCACGTGAACCCAGCAGAGAGGTACCTGTTCAATGAGTTTCTTCAGAGAAAGCAGACGCCCATGGATAGAGGCCTCATGTAGAGGAGACCAGTCTGAAACAAAGTCTGTATAAAAAGAAWCACAGGAAAAAAGCTAAAAACTCTGTTTCACCAGAATGCTTTGCTTCAACTGCATGACCTCCCATCTTCTATATTTGAGCTGCAAAGCTTTCCTTGAGTAGATGCTGTGAGGGAGCCAGACAAGAGGATGGTTTCTGCCTGGGTGCATTTTAAACTCATCCCATGTTTGCACTGAGCAGCTCTGCTCCACTTCAGCAGAAAGGAGAGGGATTTGCAGAACTTCACCTGACTCTGGCTGAGCTTGTCCCTCTCTTTGAATTATTTCCAGTGCTTTTGTTTTCACAAGCTCATTTCATTTCACCAATTGTTTCAAGAGATGTATGTTTTGAAGAGGGTTTGGCTGATCAGTCATTTACCTCTGTTCAGAGCTGGACTAGAGTCAACAACACTTGGCAAGAAAAGGGACCAAAGTACAAGGAGACAAATTGTATTACCTGTTAATTTTGCCTTCCAGTTTTCAGGGTCTGGTGGGAGTGGTGCATTCTAAGCAATAGCTGTGTTCTCTGAGTTGTTGAAACCACAAAGTGGGATACAGCACATATAAAACGTGCAAATTTAATAGAAGGAGATTCAGAAGTACAGATTTTATGGTTCAGAGCCAACTGACAGCAATAATCCCTCTGGGAGACATTTACATCCCAGCATCCAAAATCCAGTGTCTGCTCTGTGTCAATGGCCCAGGTTTCCCCTGGGAAGGAAGGGAAGCCTTTACAGAGGGCACTTCATAAAATTTAATGTGGAAAGGCATTCTGCTGCTCTCTGGAGATGTCTGACTCTCCTTCCACTAACTACAGAGAGCACTCCAATCACCAGGTTTGGCTGAGTTGCTGAGGTTCTAAGGAACTGCAAAAGAGCTCATGCATGGAATGGAATCCCTGACAGAGAAAAATGCACCTTCAGCAAAAAAACCCTAATAAGCCACTATAATTCATTAAAATAATGTTTATACATAACCTGATGATGGTAAAGGTTTTAAATGAAAAGAAGGYATATTTAGACTGGATATAAAAATGAGGTGGTGAATAATGGAACAGGTTGCTTAGAGAGGTGGCAGATGTCTCATTCCTGGAAAGATTCAAGGTCAAGTTGAATGGGGCTCTGAGCAACCTAGTGAGAGGTGTTCCTGCTCATTGCAGGGGTGTTGGATGAGACCAACTTTAAAGGTCCCTTCCAACCCAAACTAGGCTATGAATCTATGAATTTGCCTTTAAAGAAATTTGTATTCTTCTATGCTCCTCAGGCTCCTTCCTTCTGTGTTCCATGGGCTCGTTCCTTCTATGCTCCATGGGCTGGTCCCACAAGARTTACACAGTTTCATTAAGTTCACAAACATCCTTTGGTTTAGCAAAGGGACAGACAATTCCAGAAGCTGTGGTTCAGGTTCATAAGGATAGCCAAGCTAGGCTATAATTATTAAAGCACAGTGTTATTAATTGACTAAAATAGCTTCGCTCTAAGCAATGGGTGTGAAATTGATGCTTATCTGACTGTGCTCTTGTTCTTGCTGATCCTGTTTGTGTTACAGTTGGTTTTGTTTCCAGGGTATGTAAAAAGMTTTTCCCCATTTGGAAACTAATGCCATTGCCCAATGAGTTTTAAAGAAAGTACTCTTATTACAGAAATTCTAAAAATCTAGATTGAAGAACAAGTTTTTTGAGTTGAAACTTGAACTTTTTTGGCCACATAAACATAGGCAGGTGTTTGTGCAATCTACCAACTTGTTATATCACCATGTCAGAATTCTGGTTACTAAGAAAGAATTATCCATGGGTGGATTTTATCCATTCTGTCCCAGTTTCAGAAAAGACACTACTGAAACTCTAAGAAGAGCCAGACCAGGCAGCCATCTGTGGACTGGCCMTTAGCTTGTAATTTTCCAAGTCTTAACAATGAATTAAAAGACTGACCATATAACCACCAAAAATAAATGTCAGTGAAAAATAAAGAGGTATGTACTGACATAATTGAGCTGGTGAGACTTTTATCCTATGTGGAAGTGGAGTCCTGCGGAGCCCATCACACCAGCCTCAGATACCTTGGACTGAGGGGTGTTAAAGGCCTGGCTAATTGATGACTAATTGCARTGGCATAATTCCAGAKGTGCTGCCATGAACTGCACGGCCCMAGGCTGATGTCCCTCCTGAGCTATCTGCAGCAAACACCTCTGAAGCAATGCCAGGGAGTCAACTCTCCCTGGAGGGGAAAGCAAATTTCCCCACTTTCTGCACCCAGGGCACCAACTTCTGGCAAATGACAATATTTCTGTCCTCAGCCTGTTCCAGGTTGGAAATCATCTGTCTTGCCCGGAAGAGGAGGGAGGCTGCAGTGRATTTCCATGTCTCACTGCCCACTTTTACCTGTCACAGGAGGCACATTGTCAGAATGCAAAAGATCTGTATTTATATTTGATTAAAGCCTAAGCAAAAGCCAGCTCCAGCTGACCATGGACTTTCAAAACCCTGAACTAGCAACTTCCATGAACATGCTCAAAACACTCTGCCCACCAGAGCTGCTCATAAAGGACCAAGGCCAGTGTATGGGGGTGACACAGTTGTGTTCATTGCATGTACCACCACTGGAACAAGGATTCCTGATTGCCTGATGCTCTTTCACAGATAAACAAGATTATTTGTCCAAATGTGAAATTTCCCCATACCTTCGTCCACCGGGAGGCTGAGTCAGACCACAGTAGTTCAGCATCTAGATATCCAAGTCCCACTGGTTTTCAGAGGCATTGGGTCACCTAGCTCCCCTTCCTCCAACACAGACAATCCCAGCCAGCCCAGAGGTTACACTGAAAATCTGCTCATATTTGGTTTCATTGCCATCACTTGGGCACATGACACTGGCAGGCTGCTGTACACAGAGGGAGCCTTAGAGCACTAACCACACACACATGCAAATCCTGACTGCTCTCTGCACACAACAGAGCTTTCACAGGACCTTTCTAGAGCACCGTTTTTTGTGGTGATGGCTGAAACAACTTTTTCCAACCTCTGACCATGTGAGGGCACTGCACTCTCTGTGCCTGTCGCCAGGATGGTTTCCTTCCATGCCCGTCAAACATGGGGCAGCTTGAAAGCAGCTCTGAGGTCCTTTCACTGAAGGCATGCTCTTGCATTCATATTTGCAGACACTATTGCCTAAGGCATTATATAGAAGAGTATTTCAAATGGTATTTTATAGAAGCGTATTTCAAATGGTATTTTTCACATGCAAAGGTGGTCCCTTAAAGTTGTGATAGATATAGCCTGAGCCAAATACATTCCCACTGGAAACTGCCAGCAGAGCTTATTGACTGCTAAGGAACACACAGACACAAAAGGAATGGACTGAACGCTGATTTTCAAAGGACCAAATGATCTGTCCCCACCATGTGGGACTCCCTTCTTCCATCCTCCATTTTGCTGGAGCTCATCTCCACCATGGACTGCTTCTATTCATCCCGTTAATAATATCACTGTGCCTTCCCTCTCACCCCAGCATCACATTGTACATACGTGGCACACATGAGGAGAGGAACACTGCACAGCAGATAGACTGATCAGCTTTTTATTTGGTTTTATGGTGTTAATTTTCTATTTGGTATCAATGGAAACACCCTGAACAGCCCAGAAAAGGAGTGAGGACAGCGTAAAGTCACATTTTCTCAATTTATCACATTCTGTCTGCACTCGCCATKAGATGAAGGAGTAACTTCATGGAAACAGAGCCACATGGAACACATCCAGCTAAACTGTTATGTGAAGTTAAATGACTTGTCTTTTTTTACCATGTTATATTTTCTATGGCTCAGGGCCAGACACAGAGCAATGGCTAAAATGAGGCCATTTGTCTGAATAACTGTTCGTTATTATGTGCCTACAACAGCATTGGTAACAACACCACCATTGCAGAAGAACCCTGTAGGGTTGGTGGCTCAGCCTGGACGACAACACTTAGGTCTGCTCATCCTAAAGACAAGGGGAAAGGATAAAATATAAAGGAAAAAAGGAAAAAGAAAGAGAAGAAAGAGAAGGCAAAAAAAAGCAATGACTAAAAAAAAAAAAAAGAAAAAAAAAAAAAAAGAAAAAAAGAAAAAAAGAAAAAAAAAAAAAAAAAAAAAAAAAAAAAAAAAAAAAAAAAAAAAAAAAAAAAAAAAAAAAAAAAAAAAAAAAAAAAAAAAAAAAAGGAGAAAAGAAATAAGGAAAG